GCAAATTTTGATAAAAGTTGACGGAGAGTGTGGTTTAAAAATTGTGAGTCCCATGAAATGAGATTAAAAATAATTATTGATTTTGGCTTAAATTTTAAATAACTTTTTTAGTTTAACCAAATTAGGACAAAATCTTTACCCTTCGTGTTAAATATCACATGCATGTCGCGTTTGCATTTAACTTTTGAGTAGACTTTTTTCGATTTTTTTTTTAAAGATAAAATGTAGGGGACATTGATGCCACATATGAAAGGTGGAAACATGGTTGCCATATTTTGTAGGCCGGAGGTGCTGGTGATGAGTCTAACAAGTATGAGTTAATGATAATGAGGACAATGAGAACAGTGAAGACGTTAGTTGGATTAAGCTATGCAACATTTTTATACTTGAAATTCGGCAACAATGTTGATTTATGATTTTGTTTTAAGAGTACGAGGAAAACAATAAGTACTTCGAGGTGAGAACCAATAAACAATCTCCTTTCATTAATTTGCGTTTCTGGCTTCAAAAATTTGTAAAATGTTTGAATTCGAAATGAACCGTTGTCGTGTAAAAATCGGACTTCAAGTGGATTTTCATACTTTTTAACTACACCGTTCTTTAAAAAATCACTATTCAAAACTCAATTTTCTGAAAATAATGGCCAATCGGGGGCTAAATGGTCATATGTTAGGTAAGAAAAATATATTTGTTTGAAATTGCTACCCTTACGTGACTTGTAAGGAAATTTAAACTAAAAATTATTTGACTGAAAGTCATATAGTTTAAAAATTACTATCAATTTATTATCAGTATTTCTAAAATAAAAATGTTTTGATATCAAAGTTTGAAACCATGACTTTGAGAACAATTCAAGTTCATTGGACAAAGAAAACAATCTTCTAAAATTCGTTTTAATTTATAATCTTACTTCGTGTCTGATCATATTCGAACACAGACAAGCACCATAGTAAGTGCAAGAATTCCTCATTTACAATCAACCCAAACTTGGTGCCGAACGAAGAGACGCGCTGGTTGACTTTAATTTTAATCCTCGTTTCCAATTTGTGTTTTTCTTAGTTTGGCCTAATCGCATCCGGCAGAAATTGAAGCCTTGACGAGCAAACCAAAGAGAGAAAATGGAGCCGAGAAGAATGGGCTGTGATCGCTTTCCAAAACGTAAACATCCGAAGGCGGCCATCTCTTGATCATTGCATCTTGTTGCTCAGGTTTTATTACATGATCATGTGTTGTTTTGATGTAAATACGAGGAACCTGCTCACCGTTCTCCGCTTCAGTAAATTGTGCACTTGTCAATGCTTGAATTGGCCCCGGCCGCAAAAGCATTGCTGCTAGTGTCGAATCCTGAATTTAATGAGCATATCGACAATGTTAATGTCTGCTGTAATTGACTCTCGTTGTGTTGAATTCGACCAAGTGAAGGTCCAAGAATTACCTCTCGGGGTGACAATTGGTAAATTATTTTCCTTTGTAGTTCTTTCTTGATCAGCAGAGTGGTTGGAGGATGATCCTGCCCCAATCCAAAGCCTACGTCATATACATCACCAATTTCTCCAAAGTCGGAAAGATCCGGTACTCCCTGTAAAATATCGAAAACCCTTAAGGTATGTTTCAAAGTTACAAACCTTCAAGAACTGCAATATTTGAAGAAATGGTTGGGTATAGTTAATTAACAATATAGTCAAGACTAGCATCACAATGTCTATAGAATGATGATCTGTGCAACCAACTTCGACACTAACCCTCTATCCTCCCCCCTTCAATACAGTTTTCTTTTATTCAACACGACCTTATAAGATATTTCTTATATATCATTCAAACAATTAATTTCCCACTTAAAGGTAGAAACTTTGTTGATAAATGAAGAAAATAAATGCGCACAACATTATATTTTTGAGTAATGCTATTCAACCCCACTTGAGATGAAAACACAGTCTACGTGGTGTTAATGGGACATTAAATAATAGGTGAAATTAAATATGTTTGGGCAATCGAGTCATCCTACTGTATACTTACGCTTCATGTTTGGTAAAAGAGAACTTACGTCTTTGATATCTTGGTCAGTGACATAGCCCATTTTCAACATGGTGGCTGCAAGAAAAACTGCAAGGTTGATTTTGTTTGCAAACTTGTAAATTGCATCTGTCAAACTAAGCCCTCCGGCGCTATGTCCTACCAAAATCACCTGTATCGAAAAAAAAAACTTAATTTTGCTTTGACAAATTACGTTTAAATTAAATGAATACATGTGAGTCCTTTCTACCTTTTCATTGTCGTCTAAGGATGACAAGAAGTCGATGAGTGGCTTGTTGTAGTCTACGAAGGAAAGAATTGTATTGGGATCGGTTTGATCGACGCCGGCACCTTTGAGGTCAATACATGTAACTCTATAGCCGGAATTCTCCATTAGGCATCTGATTTTGTACCAGCTCCACCCTCCCCCTCCAATGCCATGTACCAGAACAAAGTGTGCCTTATTCAACCTCTTCTCTTTCATCGCCACTTCTCCCGCAAACTCTTCTCCCATACTTATTTTCTTCTCTCTCTCTCTCTCCCCCTATATATATATATATATATGTATATATGTATATATGTATGTATGTATGTATATTTATGTTTGTGTGTGACTGTGTGTGTATAGATTGATATTATATATAGTGTTGGAATAGTCTTATGATTTTGGTTTTATGGTTGGAGTAGTCCAATATATCATAATTAATTTGGACGCCGAAAAATGAATAATGCAACTTGATCTAAACCTAGACAGCGGTTAAATATTCTCACTCAAAAATATGTGCTGTTACACGCAAATTGTGAGAATAGAAAGGCCACATTCCCACACAATTGCAGTTCCATGTTCCTGCAGGTGGGGCCTCGAAAGCATTTTCTATGAGATTTTTTTGACCTAAAATTGTTGTAGCATTTCTTGTATGTGTACTAGCTTAGATAAAACCATACCCAAGAAGAACGAGACGGGTGACATTTGTCCGTAAGGGGTGTCCAAAAGTCCCGAACTGAATCGGACCGAACCGAACCCGAATCGAACCGAACGATTCTTCATAAGTTAAATACCCGAACGGGTACCCGAATCGAGAACCGATGGGTTTGGGTCGGCTCGGGTTTAGACCAAAAACCGAAACTAAAT